AAAGTTACTTGGGGCAATTGCACAGATAACCATTCTCAAGGATGCTATTTAGAGATTAACCAGTATTTATTTTGTCCTGAAATATTAAACTAAAAATCTTAACTTCAGGACAATTCAAGATATTTTTATCCTGAAAAATTAAACTGAAAAACTGAAATTCGGGGCTCACTGACTAATTTTTAAATAGCAGCCATTTAGAGTGGCTACATGGTGTCATTTTTACAAGTTACTTGAGGGGGAATGGGCTGGGTCAAGATGAGCTAAAATTTAGGTCATAGCCCAACCCGCCCAACTCTTATCAAGCTTTAATTAATATATATTATTTTCTTATGAATTGTTTAATTATCAAATAAGACTTTTTTTTCTTTTGTTATTATCATATATAACATATAAAAAATATATTTTAAAGATATTTTAGCAAAATTGCTCGTGTATCTGTGATGACCCAAAATATCATCTTTAATTTAAACATTCATTTCTGGGTTCTATGACCTCAAATAGCACTATTCATCATTCTTCGACTTGCGTGCACAATCCGTAAAATTTTCCGAAAAGTTTTTGTATGAAAAATTGATTAAAATGTGAAATATAGCTTTAAAACTCAATTGAGAGTTAATTTCGGTCAATATTTTGAGCAAACGGACCAGAATCAGTGTTTTGACAGTTCCGGTAGGTACGTATCGTGATTTGGGACTTGGGCGTATGCCCGAAATTTAATTTAGAGGTCCCTAACTTGAATTATCGCCCGTTGACGAAAACTAGAAGCTTTTAGGCTTAAAGATTTCAAAATTTGACCACAAATTGACTTTTATTGATATCGGGGTCGGAATTCACTTTTAAAAATTTTCATAGGTTCGTTATGTCATTTATGACTTGTGTGCAAAATTTGAGGTCAATCAGACTTGATTTGATAGGTCTTGGCATCGAACGTAGAAGTTGAAAATTCTTAAGTTCCTTAATCTTGAATTGTGGTATGATTCATGGTTTTAACATTATTTGATGTGATTTGAGGTTTCGACTAAGTTCGTATGATATTTTAGGACTTATTGGTGTATTTGTTTGAGGTCTCAGGGGTTTCGGGTGAGTTTCGGATGGTTAACGGGTTGAATTTTGGACTTGGAACTTTGCTGGAAGTTTTCTGGTGTACTGTATGGTTTCCTTTTTCGCGTTCGCGAGAGAGGTCTCGCGTTCGCGAAGGGGAACTGGAGGCAGGAAAGTTTTGCTCTTCGCGTTCGCGAAGAAGGGGCCACGTTCGCGAAGTGTCGATGCGAGTGTTCATCGTGAACACGTGAAGGCGTTCGCGTAGAAGGGCAAGGCCATGCCGGGTAATGGGCACTAAAGCTTCGCGTTCGCGAAGGGGAGATCGCGTTCGCGAAGGCCAAGCTTGGTAAGGCATCGCGTTCGCGAAGAGTAATTTTGGGCAGCACAAAATTATGCTTCGCGAACGCGAGGGTCCTGTCGCGTTCGCGAAGAAGAAATCCCTGGACAGCAAAACTTAAGTTCTGGAAATGGGATTTCGTCCCCTTTTTTTCATTATTCACGATTTTGAGCTCGGGTAAGGCGACTTTTAGGTGATTTTCACGGGATAACATTGGGGTAAGTATTCCTTATCCTATATTGATTATATTTCATGAATCTATACTCATTTATATCATGAATTCGTGAATTTATGGAAGAAAAACCAGATTTTTATAAAATCTTCAAAAATGTAAAATGAAGATTTGAAGGTCAATCCGATATCGGAATTCAATAATATTTGTATGGTTGAACTCGTATCAGAACGGGTGTTCAGATTTCGTGAGTTTTTTCGAGATTCGAGATGTGGGTCCCATTGTCGATTTTTAAAATGAATTTTGAATTTTAATCCGAAAAATTAGTAAATTCATATGGAATTAATTCCTACGATTCGTGTTGAGTATATTGAATTGTTTGTGACTAGATTTGAAGAGTTGGACACGAATTTGCGAGGCAAAGGTTTATTGAAATCTTGAAATTGGTTGCGAAGCGAGGTAAGTGTCGTGGTTAATTTTGACTTGAGAGAATAGACCCTTGAATTATTTGTTATGTGAAATTCATATGAACGACGTATAGGCTAGGTGACGAGTGTCTACACGTCGTCAAATTAATTGTTTACATAATTATTTGAAAAATATAAATTATTTTAAATCATGAATTAATTATTGTATTACTTGTTTCTCTTATATTCCTTGCTCAATATTATGCCTTGAATCCATGCTATAATTGCTACATGCTTATTTGATTTATGTGACTTAATTTCTACTTGACATTTAGCATACTAATTATTAAATTTCCTATTTCCTCAATTAATTGCTACGTGTCATCACTTATTTCTAAATAAATCATAATTATTGTATGCTTGTTGTCTTATAATTTCATATTAATTGTTGCATTTATTGAAGTAATTTTTTTTATAAGAATTGATAAATTATATTATTGGAGGAGTGAGTTGAACGCCGCAACATAATTGATTGAAATGAATATATTGGAGGAGTGGGTTGCACGCCGCAATAGAATTGATTGAAAGGATATATTGAGGATCGGGTTGCACGCCGCAATAGAATTGATTGAAAGGATATATTGAGGATCGGGTTGCACGCCGCAACAAAAATAAAAATGAATATATTGTGGGATCGGGTTGCGTGCCGCAACGGAAACTGATTGAAATAATAATTGGTTATGACTGCCGAGTTGGCTTCAACTGTTGAAATGAGTTACGTATTTTATTTCTATTATTGTTGTTACTATTATTATTGCGTACAAGTTAATGTAAGTGACCTGCCTTAACCTCGTCACTACTTCGTCGAGGTTAGGCTCGGCACTTACTGGGTACATGGGGTCGGTTGTACTCATACTACACTCTGCACTTCTTGTGCAGATACATGAGTTGGTCCCAGTGGCGTACAATAGATTTGCTCGGATTCAGCTATTCGCCGGAGACTTGAGGTATAATTGCATGGCGTTCGCAGTTCTGAAGTCCCCCTCCACTTTATAGTAGTTGTGTATTTCTTTCAGACAGCTTCATTTTCATTCATACCTCTATTTGTATTATTCTAGTAGCTCGTGCACTTGTGACACCAGTTCTAGGATGGTATTTAGACATCGCTATTATTATGGATTATTCACTTTATTTCATATTTTATTTTCGTATTTATTTTTTTGTTATTAATTAATTTAAAATTATTTAAAAATAGCTAATATTATTCTAAAGTTGGCTTGCCTAGCAAGTAAAATGTTAGGCGCCATCTCGGTCCTGAAGGTGGGAATTTCGGATCGTGACAGTATCAATTTGGTCTAAATATCAGTCTAATTTTAAATGAGTTGAGATGAGTTGAGCTCAATAAATGAGCGGTCAATAACCAGCTCAACCTTGAGCGAGTTGGACGGGTCATTTGGAGTTGGGCCAAATTTGACAGCTCTATCTCGTTCTTTTCAATAGTTGTTTCATCCTCTTGCTTTTTATCAATGCAATTTTTTTCCTTTTAAATATTTACTATTATTTACCTACCTAAACTCTCCAAAATATATTTGTTATGGCTAGGGGTACACAAAAAAAATTAATAACTGCACCAAACCGATATTCCAAGTCAAACCGGAAAAAAATCTGATTGTGATTTGGTTTGATTTAATTTGGTATTGCAAAAAACCCCCGACCATAATTGGTTTGGTTTGGTTTTAACTAAAAAAAGTCAAACCGAAACCAAACCAACCCGATAGTACATTTATATAATTTTTTAAAATATTTTACACATATAAATATTTATTGTAATGAAATTTATAAATATTTCTTAAAATTTTTTACATTTTTATCTTTTAACGTATTATTTCAAATTTGGACATAATATTCTTGAATGGTAAATACATTTTCTATCACATAAATGTATTAACTTAAACAAAGTTCAAATCAAAACTAATACTAACAAAAGAAATTCAATTCAACACTAGGAATGACGATAGTGTTGGATATCTATTTTTAAATTTTACTTTGGTTTATAATGAAAATGCATAACTTAGTTTATCTTTTTTTAAGTACTTAGTTATGTAATTAATAATATTTATTAGCTATACTTATTTGGGGGCAAGTGCACAAATAACCATTCTCAGGGATACTATTTAGAGATCAGCCAATACTTATTTTGTCTTGAAATTTTAAACTAAAAATCTTAACTTCAGGACAATTTATGACATTTTTGTCCTAGAAATTTGAACTGAAAAACTAAAATTCATTACGCACGGGCTAATTCCTAAATACAGCCCTGTAAAGTGGCTACCTAGTGTCATTTCTACACTTATTGTAGCATGACATATATTAGTATTTTTAGATTATGTTAATTTTTATTATGGCTAATTAATTAGCAATATTTGCTTTATGCAATTTTATTATCTTTGTTATTGAATATTTTAGTATAATGCTATGACTTATCTCATATTACTGTGTTATTTTCTTGGAAAATACATTATATAGTTGTAATCGTACTAGGACTAAAGAAATATTTGGAGCACAAGTTACATATTTTGTGCTATGAAGACTTTACCGGAAAAGACCCCGAAAACCCGAAAAAAAATAGAAAAACCCGAGATTGAAAAATCTGACTTTATTGGTTTGATTTGGTTTATAGATTTAAAAACCCGACATCATTGATTTGGTTTGGTAATTGAAAAACCCGAACCAACCCGACCTATGTACACCCCTGGTTATGGCCCTTTAGGAGAAAAGAATTAAAAAAAGTAAAACATAAAAAGAGATCGCCATAATCCTCATGCATTTACTCCGTTCTAAACCGTTACAAAGTAAAACACAGATCATGTCCACACTTGTGCATTTACTAAGGTCTTACTCATAACAACTACCTTTAGATTTTAAGTCTTACTATCATTAATATTAATTTCCTCCCTAAAACATAATCATTAAATACTAGATTATGTACATCTCCTATATAAAGTGAAGCTATACTTCTTCATTTTGCATAACAAAGAAAAATACTTAAGTGAGAAATTGTGAAAAAATGAAGCTTAAGATTTTGAAAGAAGTGGTAATTCTCATGATAATCACAACAATTATGGTTTCTTTTGTGCATGCAGATGAAGATCCATATGAAAAATGTGTTGATGAATGCTACTCAACTTGCTTTGCTGACATTTCTGGCTGTTATGAATACTGTAAACAAGATTGTAAAAACCCCAATCTTTCTTCGTCGGAATGGAAACATTGTACCATTAATGATTGTGTTAAGTATAAAGGAGGTATGTCTATATTTCTTTCTCTTTCTTCTCACTCTTTCATTTTTGGTCTCCAACCCTGTCCGGATACCCGGTTTTGGATCCTGACTAATTTAGGTTCGCCCCGCCATACAACAATAACCCAGTAGAATTTCACAAGTGAAGTTACGAAAGGGTAAACCGGTATAGTATAAGCAGACCTTAACCCTATCCCGGAGGACTAGAGAGGCTATTTCCGAAAAAATCTCGGCTCAAGAAGGCTATTAAAAGAGGACATTCTCCCTATCAATTAAATTTTCTTTTATTCTCATGATTCGAACCTGAGACTTTTGATTAAGGATGAATGAATCTTATCCATCCTATAAGAACTCTTAATGCTCATCTCTCTCAATCTATCTATCTATTTATCTAATTCTAAAATTGTGATCGATTTGGGTCTAATGTTAAGTTTGCTATGCTTTAATTTATTTTCTTGCAACAATGAATTAGGAAATCTCGTATACACGTATTAAAGAGATTTTTTTTTGTGTGACAGATAAGAAGATGATGGAGACTTGCATTATCAAATGTGCAAAGACAGCCGACAAAATCAAAGGTTGAGAAGTACTTGTAATGCTCTAGATTTATAGCTGAACACCAAGAATAGAAAGAAAAAAGAAACATGAACTAAAGTCCTTTGATGTAATAGAATGGATGTTTTTTGTTATTTTTATAAAAGTTTTACCTTTTATTAGTCGTGATTGTCTCCTTTTACGCCATGTCTCTTATTTATGTCTTGTCTTCTCTTTGTCGTGTTTTTAAAAGTAAAATTTAATTAAATCCTTTTAATCATTTATTTGGAGAACATTTCCACCGCCTTGTTGTGGTGGAATGATAAGTATTCCTTCGTCCTTAACCAGAGGTCTCGGGTTCGAGCCATGGATATGGAGTTGCCTTTATTAGGAAGCATTTTAACCCCCAATGTGAGACTTTCCGGCGCGAATCCGGATTTAATCGGACCCAAAATACGGATACCAGATACCGGAAAAAAAAAACATTAGGCCTCGTTGATCAAACATAACGACTAAAAATGAATGGTCAATCCATGTATTTTCAAAATGTCAAAAATGACATTCAATTATGATGGATTATTATAAGTTTTTTTTCTCAAAAATGATAAATTGCATAAAATACCCAATATTATTGTGTAGATATGAGTAAATTTCAGTCAATTACACAAATGATCCCTCAACTATTTAAAATTATGAATTAAAGTCACTTTTCTTTTATTCGAGGAAAGTCACTTAGCTATTTCTATTGTATATAGATGATCACTCAATCGAAATGTCAAACTTTTTGTTGAAAAAATATGATGTGGCAGTCCACATTGATTTTTTATATCACTACTAGAAAATCAACTAACGGTTCAAAGACCGTTGCTATAGATGCTTATTGCAACGGTTGTAACCGTTACAATAAGGCAAGGTACTGTCGGCACACTTTTAATTAACTTGTACTTTTGTATATTGTAATACTACTAATTAATTAAAAGTGGAGAAGGCAAATATTAAGTTTCTCTGTCAAACCTCACGCCCAAAATCAAAGAGAAACCTCACGCCCAAAATCAAAGAAATCGATCTCTCTGTCCAGCTCTTTTCATGCCGGTGACAGTCCCACGCCGGCGACAGTCGATCCCTCCGCCAACCTCCGTTAAACCCACCAGAGTCTCAGCAAAAACACCCCATAAACTTTATTTCCTCCACAATAAAAAATCACCTCCTTCAATCAATTCGAACCATCGAATAATTTTAGGGTTTTTTTCTCGATTAATTATCTCGGTTAACACTTCAAGTTCTCACAGATCCCTAATTCTAGGTTTTTGCTCAACTCTCATAAATTTTCTGATTTACTTTGCATTCTCTTCTTCTACTCCTTTTGTAATTTCACAACAGTTGAGCCCTAATTCGCAGATTCCATTCCTCACTGAAGAAGAAATTGCCGCTGGTAGCTGTGGAATAAATATCACTATAAGTTTTTAAAAGTATTTTTAACAAAATTTGGGATAAATATCACTGGTTGTGTGTATGAATCAAGCTTTCAGTTTGAGTGTTCCGCTGGTAGTTGCATTGAAATACGCATGTTGATACTTGCTTTTGAGTTGATCAATATATCAACTATAGCAAACATGAATTAATCTTATTGTATTGGTAGAAGTGTCAGCATTGTATATTTATTTGTGGTCAATTATTTTGAACTATGACTCGACAAGTTTCCAGTTGATGAAACGTAGATAGGACGGCCTTACTCTAGGGTTACTAGTACTCTAGGATCTTAAACATACTCGTTGTTGCTTAGTATTATAAGTATAACATGTTATGGCTGACTACAATATATTGATGATGTAGAAATTTTTTCCATCATCAGTGTTGATCTACTTGTAGCTGAAGTTGTATATAATCTTTCATGATTTGATTAGTGTAAAATTTATACTAAATCTATAAAAAGAAATTACACGTAAAAGAGAATTAATAATGAAAGTATCATTTGGAGCTAACCTTTCATGATCTGGTCACCTCATATGCAAATTCTCAAGGTTTGTTTCTATAGAAAACACTTTGAAGTAACTGAGTATATTTCAGGAAAACCAACATCCTAACTATTTTGTTAAAAAACATCAGAAGAAAAAGACATTTTAATTTCCTAAGGTGGCATTTGATGGGTTTGGGGTTTGATTTATGTTTGGTTTTGGGAGAATCAGTTTTGACTTTGGCTTTTGAAATAATTTGCATATTTTGGATTTGTTTGTATAAAAATTGGTTTGCACACCTATTGTGTGTGAAAATATCACTAAACCTAAACGGATTAATATGGGTGAATAAGGTAATTTAAAGCCAACTAGACTGAATTATTTAAAAAAATTGTTTAATCTTGTAACTATGTTGCCAAGAAGAATGAATAGTCATTTTAGTTCCAACAAGAATTAAACTCCACTGTCTTGCTTCATGTACTCTATTTTTTCCACTTTTTTGGTTGTTCAATTTTAGCGTGTTCTTTTTTGTCGAACTTTGCTGTAACATGTTCTTCAAATACGTGAAGATCAAAGAAAATGTTATAGATTCTTACTGTGAAAATCAAGTAAATGATGAGACATATGTCACCAAATTCAAGTAAGAACTTAGGTAAATAAAATGGAGACAAGGGCGGGCAAATAGAGAACAATTGGTTTTTGTTACTGCAAAGACTATGTGTGTCATCATGAATTATTTGAATTGAAAATTTTTTAGGTATCAGTTCTAACATGAGTAAATTATTTATGCATTACGTAAGTGTATTAACCGTCAAACAAATGTATATTAAAGTAGAGTAAGGAATCAGCTCATTGGTCCAACTGAAGCAGTTGTAAAAAAGTTGGGTAGCTCATCGGCACATTGGCAAGGAATGGGACCTTATGTCCGCTAAATGTATTTAATTGGAGGAAACTAGACACAAAAGATCATATGTGGAACTATATCAAGGTTTGAAATTCTCAATTTTCAATAAGCGTGGATGATATTTCATATTTTTTTACACTAACCTAATTGCACCAAAATTTGTAGGCAAAATCTGACATCCTAGAGGATGCGAAAATATAGGTTTTTCATTCAATTCAGGTAGCTTGGAGAAAGTATAAGAATCAATTGAAGAAAGATCACTTTGAAGCCTATCTGAATGACGAGCTTCGAATGGAGAATTGACCTGTAGATGTTTCGGAATCTCACTTTAAGGATTTTCTTAACTATTGGAACTCCGATTCCCACAAGGTAAACTTGAGAGAAGGATTAATATTTACTTTAATCTTGTGAATTCAATCAAGTAATCACTAGTCATATTGAAACTGAATCAATGCGTACATAGGAGTTACATGCCAGAAAGAAACCACTACTTGTTTAAAGTAGTAAACCACTACTATATCTGGTTCATTACAGCTAAATGAATCAAGTATAAGATGCAGAAAAGACTGTAACCAACAATTGTCCTCTGTTTAAATGCTACTGTAGCAACACTACTTAAAACAAGGGGAGGAAAAAAGAAAGAAAAATCAACTATGTAACCTATCACAATTTACTCCTATCTATGAACCTGCTATTCATGCATATGTACAGCTATGAAATGTTGCTGATTAATATTCAAATAAATCTTTTACTGTTGATTGAGTTTACTTTTGAAAGACGAGCAATGCAAGTGCACGACGCCTTGTGTGTGTTGATTCAATAGCCTGCACAGTGCTATTGTCATCCCCTAGAAGAACTTGAGGCTCCTTTTCTAAGGAAGATTCTCTGAAATGATTGAGAAAATTCTCTACTGTGAATTTTGTTTCTACTCTTTCCAATTATGATGGAACCGGAAAGGCCATTATGATTTTCCCATTTAACACGAAGTTTAATTGAATTGCTTGCTTTTCTGTTGATGCTTGCTTGAATTGTCAACTAGTTCCTAAAGGTAATGACTTTATTTATCCTTTTTTGTAGGTGAAGAAAATATAAAAGGGAAGACGAAGACAGGGACGATCTAGACGTTACTTAAGAAGATTCTTGAATTATTGTTGGAATTTAGATGTTTTAGGAATATTGGTATGGAATATTTTGAAGCTTATGTTAACTCTTGAATTGTAAAACTTATGCACTTGGGTTTGAACATTTTGCTTTGATGGATATTACTATATAGCTTGTTGGACAATTATTTTGGATTGCAAAAGTTTATGAGTAGTTTATTATGCGACTTATATAAATTTTGGTGTATTAAAATTTATAATTGTGCAACAAGGTGTATATATCATAGTTAAGTTGTTTCATAGCTTACCAGAACCGTTATAATAGGATAAAAATATATTTCAATAGATAGTGTAAACCGTTGCAATAGGTCATGCAATCTGTTCCTATAGTAACCGTTGCAATATGAAAAAACGTAACAATAGCATTAGAAAACCGTTGTGATATCTTTAAATAACCGTTGCCATAACTTAAGTGTTGCATTAAAACAAATGGTGACGGTTTTGAACCGTTGCAATAGAGGAAAAATAAGCGTTCCATCAGAAAGAGGAATAACCGTTACGATAGATGGTCCTATCGCAACAGTTATTACAACCGTTACGCGAACCGTAGCTTCAGAGATATTGGCACGCGACCTGGTGGAACGGTTGCTAAACCATTGCACTAGATCAATGGTAACAGTTTACATGTCTATTGCAACGATTTTTCATGCGTTGCCATAGGCTGATTTTCTCGTAGTGTATTTGTAGACCAAATACAATAATTAACACCCAAAAAACATAGAAAATTTGCCCATACACTTAACCCGACCCACTAAAAATAAAAATTTCACCACTAAATAAAATCAAACACTGTAACGCATCCCCTTTGTGAATGCATCCCTTTCCTTATGAAAAGCATATTTCTTCTTCTTCTTCTTTCATGGTTTTACTCTAGTTTAATAAAATAATAATGGGTACGAGGTTAAAGACTAAGGACTAGAGTGACTTGCGTTCTTCTTTTCTTAATGACCTGTATTCTTCTTTTCACGATTTTTTCTCTACTTTTTATAAAATAATAAAGGTTGCGAGATTAAGGACTAGAGTGAAACTAT